CAATGTCCCCGGCCAGGGCTCGAACCCGGACCGCTCGATCCGGAGACGAGCGCACTAACCATGAGGCCACCGCGCCTCCCTAAATCCGGCCAAAGCTCATCTTTTTTCCCAACATCTGTTCAGTGCATAGTTCGTTTGCGAACTATGCACGAACTCATAGAAATATGTATTGTACTACTTTAAAGGGTATGCAAAAGTAAATGAAAACATATTCATGTTTTAATCAAACTAATTGCTAATCGATGTTATAAATTTGCCACAGGTAAAGTCGGCAGTGACAGTTTTATATTGTTCAGTTTTTGCCTAATATTAGTTTTTAATTTAAGCAATTACTCGGAGAGGGCTAATTTATTATTAAATGCCTTTTTGTTTTTAATGTCCAAGGTGTTGGTTTCAGAATTTTTAAACAACTCGATGAGAAACAATTGTATGCAACGATTCCGCATTGTTTGCTAAAAGTAAAACAAAGAATTCGTTTTTCATGGAAAAGATAAAAACTTTATATATAAATAGGCTAAATAAGTGTTGTTATCAATCGCAGCTCATCTCTTGAGTGACACAAAGGTCAGAAAGATCGAATTTTTAATTTTTTCTTCTTATATATTATGAAAAGAACATGTTATATATGGCTTTCATATTAAGTGAAATTACTCAAAGTTGGAATTCTTGAACAAGGATTTTTCTTCTGTATGTCAAGCAATCGTTCCATGACCATTGCCTACCAGCAAGTTTTATTTGCGGACTGTCAGAATATCTTTGTTTGTTTACTGGTTGCCAAGGAAACCATCAACAAACAAAGCACCATACCAACAATTTCTTTACGAAATAGTCCTTAAACCCCCCCCCCCCCAAAGAAAAACCCACCAACAATACTAATTCTCTGATCCCAACGTATGATTGCAGTACTATATCTTTAATAACACTCCCCTGGTAGGGCTTTTCACTGACAAAACAATAAAACAACAAAGGAAATACATACATTACGAACTGGGATTTATTGTTTGTTTGATCGTTTGATTGACTGAATGAAAATTGATAGGTATGTTACTTGATTAAAAAGAAGATTGAAACACTTAATGTTCCTCTATTGATTCTGAAATTGATATTCGGTACAATAATTAAGGCCAGTTAAGTCATGTAATAAACTTTAGTTACATATCCGTAATATCTATGTAAGACGCAACCGGAATTCGTTCATAACCCTTTACCTGATCTGTATTTTCAATAGGCCATTTCCGAGTTGCCTATTGCCTCTATGTCTTCGTGCGAAACCATTCATATAACAATGAGTCAATAACAACAACAACAACCACAATAACATCTATATTATTTTCATCATCATAATTATAGTTATTAAGAAGGAACCACCTGCAGAAGTTCGAGTAACAAGTGGACAAAAACTTTGTACCGAGATTATTCACATGTTATTGCAAACTTCTGTGCAACTGTATTAAATATCTTTACAAAAAAAAAAATCATTTCTAACAACACTAAATGTCGAAAACAAATTTAGAACTTCGTATGAAACACTTGAAAGTACTGGTGAAATGAAACTGATTATGAAATTTTACCTGTGTTTACACAATTCCTCTGAACTTTGAAATTTATTTTCTCGATTTCTCATGGGAATTGTTTTCGGTATTATTTGAGGCAGCTATTTACATCTTTAGCTTTAAGAAAATGTAAAAAGGACTGTAAAGTAACTAAAATTATTCTGGTATAACGTACCAGGTTTTTGTCGACTAAAAACTGAAATTGCTCGACTTCCTATTGGATTTCGTCTTTTTTTTTTAGTTTATTTAATATAGGCGGTATGGTTTAGATGAGGTAATTGTTACAATCTTGTTTAAATGAGACTGGAAGCTAAATGAACCATAAGGTTACCATTAAGTTAGCCTCCAGCCTAGTTATGTCTAATTGTAGGACGCCAGTTCCCCCTACAGGTTCATTTTCATGCAAATCAAACTTATTTTCATAAGAAAGGTTTTGCACGGACTCGTTTTCAAACAGAGGCACAAGCTTAAGGTGACTCGGAAATGGCCTATTAAGCTAAAAAGTTTTAGGTTTCCTTCTCCACCTGAGGATGATTCTGTACATTGCATGTTGAAGTAACCTCCTTAACTGGTGGAATAAGAAGTTAACTCCATGTCTTGCTTACTGTCAATAGTTAAACCTCTGTTAATATACTGGAAGCGTAATACATGTCGCACTCCATCACCAACATCGCTTTCCCCGACAATAGAAGATAAGCGGCTCTGGTGAGAATGTATTTTCTCACAGCCAAAACATAACAGTCGTTTGAAACCCGCCTTGTAATCTCGATTAGTAAAGCAGCAAATCCAGGGATTTACACAGGAGTTAAACATAGCGAGAACTATGGTGAAGTGATGTAGCAGAGTCTCCGCCTTGGTGATGTCAAACGCGGAGAGGGTGTAGAAAACTTGATTTGGAAGCCAAGATATAGTTAATAACAATGCTACTATAGCACACATGCGTGTAAGCTTTTTTCGAGTGTTACGAAATCGTACATTGCGTTCTGCTGGTGATCGCTGGAGGACTTTAGCGACATGAAGGAATGACAACCAAGTTATTGCTGTTGGTATGAAGAATGTTAGCGTTGTATAACTTGGTATAAATATCTCTTTGGGGTATGAAATTGCACTCCATTCGCATCGCAAAGACGTATCGTTCAGTTTGGCTTTAACTGGCTTTGAGCCATTAGCAATACCGCTTATAAGCCAGATAG